GATTAAGCGGACCACTTCAGTCCACTGTCTGTGCGAAATGAGTGGGAGGGGGCATCGAGCGGGGAAACCCCTCAGAACTCCGGACTCCCCCACAACAAACAACGTGCCCGGACTTGAGAAACATGAAATAAACATTTGCCACAATGCGAAGGACACCAAAAACATTTCCGCATGCCGCACAAGTGCAGTTGAATTACAGTGCAGAAAATAAGTAAGACAATGCATTTGGGTTGTAAGATTAAAAAATTTAAAGCTACTTTCGGGATTTCATAAATTTAATAATCACTAAATGATTTTATTACTATTAAAATGTTTTTTTTTGAGCCTTTTAAATATATTAAATGGTTGTTTCTCGCTGAATTCAAGTGTAGAAGCTTCAAAGGCAAACCGAGAAACAGGAGCTGACTGCATTTGAAATCAGCGCTGCATGTCCAAAGTCTGACTTCTCCCAGCGTCTTGTGCAGCCGCTTTTCTTCCTCCCCAACAATTTTCCACCTCCTCCAAGTTCTTGCGTCAGTTCTACTCATAATTCAGGAAGTGTGCAACGCTTTTTGCAAGACGTACTTGCATTTCATACCAAGTTGCACTGCCTGTCTCCAAGACAGCTTAATAAATGTCATAAAAAGTGCCCAAGCGCAGAAAGTATTTTTTAAATTAAGAGCCAACTTTCAAAGTTAACAATTTAATTTCTCCGCAGAGCTGTGTTTTAATGCAAATGACACTTTATGAAAAACGAAAACAGCATGTAGCAGAAATGCAGCCAGGCATTGTCCGTTTTTAATGAGCTCGCAAATAGTCAGACGGAAAAGAAGAAGTACAAATTTGCACATAACATTAATGCTGGCAAACATTTTGATAATTAATATAAAAATCAGTGGGGCGGCCAAACACATGCTGTCCGCATTTATTGTTGTTTAATTAATCAGCCATTGAGCACACAGTGCGGTCGCAAGTGCACAATTTGTCATTGATTAATTAAAAATCTGTGGCCCCCCCAAAGTTGCAACTACATGCAGAAATACACAAAATATTCATTAAACTCAATGCGAATGCATGTGAATGCATTTTCTACTTAACAAAATGACTATTCAGGGATTAAAACTATTGTTGCGGTAAAAGATATTAATTTTATGATGTCGCACAACGGCTTCAAACAGTTTGAATGCTTTGTAAAATTTGTTAAAGAGGATTGTGATATTTGAGTATGTCAGATATTAACTAAAAACGTTTTTAAAAAATGACATTTAAAAAAATACCTTTGTGTTGCTATGCATATGGTTTCATATATCAATATTATACATGTTGAAGACCGTCATAATGCCACACATTGTTAACATATTAAACCCTTGACTGATCAGCACAACTGTTAAACTTTATAACAGAAAATGCGTTTATTGTATTTCACATTTAATTGGCTTCTATGGCTTATCCACTTTAATAAACCTTAAATCATGTCTGCGAATAACCAATGGTCCTATTTTATGGGTACGTTCCCCTTATTTGCACTGCGTTTTTACTTGGCTTAAAATAATTAGTTGAGAATGATGTTCGAAAACAGTTGCAATTAGCAGCACACAAATTGCACTTAATTATATAATAAATTCAATTGACAGCAGCACTTTTTGTTATGCACATTGTCGTTGGGATTTCATGCATAATTTCCGCATTATTTATGAGCTTAGCCTTATCTTTATTTATGCACTTGTTTGCCATTATGATACAATTAACGCGATATTTAATTCTTTTCGTTGTACGCATTTTGTGATACATCAACGAGTTTGTTGCCGACTAATTGGCTTTTGTGGTTTTATCCGATTGCCCGAATGACGTTAATTGTGATTAAATCTCGACACCACCCTCACCAAAACTCCCCCGAGCAATTTCCAGCTGTAATTGAAGATTGTTGCTTGGAAAGTGCTTACAAAACCTATTTTGCCTCCCTCCCTCACAATCTCTAATTTGCCTAAGGCTGAAGGCACAAAAATGGAAAAGGCGAAATGGCAAACTGAAAATTCAATCAAAAGTGTATACAATACGGAATTTCATCAGACATTCCTATCCATATCAAAGCAAAAAAGGGAAGAAAGAAATATAACAAATAGATTTCAATATCTGGATAAATTTATCAGAAAACAAAGTGCGCAGCCAAAGCAAAGTTTTCCTTTCTTTAGCCTCGGAGTTGTTTTTTTTTTCGCCAGATGAAAACTTTTTGGGAAGCAACTTTGTTGTTATGCGCAGATTTCATTTGGATTTGTTTAAAAACGAAACATATTTTTTACCGGCCCGGAGATTCGAATATATAGTATACTCGTACGTATGGAAAATAAGTGAGGGGCAGAAGCAAATTGGCAAACTGGAAAAGGTTCCACACAATGCCAAATGGCAGGTAAAGCTTGCGCCAGACTGTAGACCAACAAACATTTACATAGATACTTCGCTTCGTTTGCATATTTTTTTAGCACAGCTGATTGAGGGGTAATCATGGGAATACCGAATCAATCAAAATTATATTTAAATACATTTCGGAAAACCACTGGCAACAGATGACTGGCAAAAGAGATTGGCAAACTGCCGGTTCCAAAAAGTTTGATTAGAATCTATATATTTAGGTAGTTGTAAGATAAGTGTCTATTAAATAACATAAATTTCAAAAAGACATTGCTGTTTCGGTTGTCCGAGTTTTATATTTGATTTTTTGTATTTTTAATTTAAATTTCAATACAGGTCATTTACGATTCGATCAAATCCACATGTTAATCTCGCCAAGTCGACAATGTGCCCATTGGAATTTACATGCAAATTTGTTTTGTGCAATTTCCAAAGATTTCCCATTCGCTGATAGCTGATGGCTGATATCAGCCCGGGCTCCCACGCGGAGGATGAGATGCTGCAGGCTTAAATCTGTGGTCAACTAACTGTCAGCGCATATTACGCATACGCCCCATGCGCCACCCGCTAGGCAGAATGATAAATGACGTCAGCGGGCTGGGTCAGGGAATATTTTGCGCTGTATTTAGCAGCTAACCAAGCCGTATTAATTAACTTTTATGATGGGCGCGCTCGCAAAGTGGGCCAAGAAAAGTGGGTTAGATGAGTGCTCTACTGTGCGTATACGTAATATTTCATTATACGACCATGGCAACCTCAGCCTCCCACGGTCGCCTTTTGATTTTATCTAGGGCTCTCCTTTGGGGGCCCACAAGATTTATTGCCTGCTTGAGAGATAAAGTCATTATGATGGCATTATGAAAAGGGAGAGACGACGCCGTGCGGCATTTAGGAGATATGAATCTTTGATGCATGTAATTGCCCCGGAACTCTGCCCATATGTGCCTGTCCTGTATATCATTGATTTTCCTCGTGCTTTCCGTTTATGGTAATTTCGCTCTTCCGTCTTTTTATCGCTTGTCTTGCACTAATTAAAATTTCATTAGCCACACTTCGCCAGGCCATCCATCCATCCCAAAGCGACCCTTTGACTTTTGTGCTCCCCACCCGGCGTGCATTAATTATGCATGCCAGAAGTCAAGGCGGCTGTAACGCTCAGTTGACAGCTGTCACCGCAGACAATCAACCGTACGATATCCCGCCCCCAAAGCGCACACAATCAATAATTTCCACGGATGCCAAACACACACGTGTCATTATATTGCTCTATCGCCAAACTGCAGCTAAGCAAACATTGTATTTTATCCCTACCGCTCTGAAGTTTTCTGCCTTTCTGGCATTGTCCATTTGGCAGACTTTCAAAACTGCCAAAAGAAATCGCAGACACATAGACATGGCGCCTACACATTGCGCGACAAAAAATGCCGACGAAATGCTGGCGCCGATTCGAAATGGCATCGGGTCAGCGATGACAGCCACCATTTCAAGGTGCACTCTTTAAGTGCTCGAACATCCGCCGCACTAAGTGCTTTTGGTGATCAAAAAATTGCTTAATTTCGATAAGCTTTTGTTATTTATCGAGATGCGAAACTTTTGAGCTGAGTGTATGCTACCATATGTACCCAAAAAGTATTTTTTGTGCCTTATAAGCTTGGCACAGAATAAAAACGAATATTATGTTCATTTTAAATTTGATCTGTGACAAGCAACAAAAAAAATTTACAAACATTTTATATGATACTCTGAGTTATACAAACATTATGGATAAAAAGTTGCTGAAAAATAATACTATACATTTTAAAAACATTTTTGCGTTATTTATTTTTTAAATAGTGTTTTTCACCTCCCCTGAGTGTACCCAATCCCAGCCTCAATCCACTCGACTCATTTCCTTTTTGGCTGTTGGAGCTCTCGCCTTTTCTACCGGCGCTGATTGAATTTCACTGACTGGCTGCCGGCGGCTGCATCGATAGCGCATATGTTGCCAGTTGCTCGCATCGTGTGGCAAGAAGTTTATTGAAATCGATCGAAGTGACTCCGAACGGGAGCTTCAAAGTAAAAAAAAATCGCAACTCAGGCCCGTGCAGCTACCATTTGCATACCAATTGAAGTGGGCAACAGAGTGCCAGGAAATTTACTCAGATTTATGTTAATTTATTGAATTTAATTTGATTTTCTTTCACTGTAACGATATGTTGTGTGTCCGGGAGTAAATCTCAACTGCGAATAAATTCAATCAAGTTCGGCGCATAAATTACACCTTTTTGGCGCCACGCGAAAAGGTGCGTATCCTTAAGATCCCAAAGAGCAAGGCCATTAGAATAACAACAATACGGCGGCCATTTGTTGCTTTACATTTTATGTTTATAATGGCAAAAGTTTTGAGGGTTGCCTTTTTATGTCTGTGATATTTGAAGAGGCCCGAGGTCAGGTCATTAAAATGGCAAAAAGGTTGGCCAGCCGACTTTTCTGCTTTGTATTCATTAAGTAATTGAGGTTGAGGTGGAAAGTGTGGACGCAAAGCATCTGAGTTTCGTCTGTGGCATGAATTATTTATATACTAATTTAATTATTATTTAATTTGTCATTATGACGAGTTGCGTAAGGTCACTTTACTTTGATTCCTGGCTGAGGTATTTGTGAAGGTGCCTGAGTTCCGTTTGCTGTATAAAGTAGACGATCCCAGCGGAAATTGCCAGGTTTGACAGGAGCTTAAAATGTCCGAGTACAATGTTTAAATTTAAATAGGTTGAGTTTTTTTTTCCTAACGTTGTGGTCACAAAGCAAACGGACTTGTGTTGACGGTCGCAAACAGAGATACCTGAAAGAATCTTTAAGGCGACATTTATTTGCAAATTCATGTTAATTATAAGATCTCATACCAACCATTATATCAAAAATATCCAGGTGCTTTAAGGAATAACCTTTCCACGAATTCTCAGCAAGAAATTGTTTGACTTCGCAATCTTTTTTATCCAATTTGTACTTCCAGCATTCCTCCAATACTTTAAAATATTCCACTTGCTGGGTTCGAGCTGCAGCAAGGAGCAAAATCCACAAAGCCAAGTGGCATAATAATATCAGCACAGGTTTCATCAGTGGATCCTCTTTACTTATTAAGTTTTCTTGACCGGCCCATTCGGCTTCATCTTCTAGATCTTCTTGGCTCTTATGCTGCTGCACAAACTCGTTGGAGTCGTAATGAAAGAGCTGAAGACATTCAGCTATTCGAAAACCTACTATAAGTGCGTAGCACATGTAGGACATTTTAAAATAGTTACCAGCTAAGAGATTAACTCTTTTTTGAATAGAAAAAACATTTCTGAGCTGGAATTGGTATATCTTAAGGTTTCCTTGCCCACTTAAATTTCTTAAGGATTGGAGCCATCCTGCATTTATCAAATGGTAAAGAACGTGCAGCACAATAATCAGTACAAACATTGTTCGTGGTAGTCCCATCAAAAAATTGGAAACCTGAAACACTTCGGTTAGAGTTATGGTTCCTGGCTCAGAAGTCAATTTTGGCCAGTTGAAATATAACATGTTTGCTCCGAACACAGAAAGAAAAACCAGCAAAAGTACTCCATAGAAGAAAATGAGCCAAGAGCATTTCAGGTGAAAATGTTCATCCAGCAGGCACTTAAGCTTTTTACACTCCATTTGCGCTTCATTTAATAAATTGAACAGTTGATTTTTTTTGACCAAAGACCAGATTAACGTCAGAAATATATAGAGGCTTGTAAGCCTCTCGCTCCATATTTCGGTTCTACTTCTAAGAGGTCTTTTCTCAATATTCAGCAAACTAATAAGCTGGTTCTCTCTTTCCCAATAGCGACTCACGAAATTGTGAACCAGTAATACTAATGAAATTAAAATTACTGGTAGGAATCTGCACAGGGTAGCATTTTGTTGATATTCTTTACGAGACTTGCTAAACCTTAGTTGAAGAATTCCAAAGAAATGCAGAGGAAATCGGAGAACTTTGACTATGTTGAAGATGAAACGAAGTGGTGCCATTTCGAAAAACAACTAAAAGATCCAACGAAGTGGTATTCATACCATAATTACTGTCCGCAACCATTAAGTAATTGATAATTAAGTTAATGTGGCTCATTTTGCTGTTTATTATTCACTCAAACTCATCATAGAAATAAAAGCGGTAGACTTGACTAATTGTTTGGGTAACATTGCCATTGAAATCGTCCTGCGACTCATACTCATAGCCCTGGAAACTTAAATTTTTGGAGAAGTTTAAGCGAATAAAAAGCAATAGGAGAAGTTCACGGATGTGGGTTTTTAGACAGCTCGTCAGCATTAATAAGGAAATTCCAAACTTAAGACCTTTGAAGTCAAAAGTTGTTAAATAAAATGCTTTGTTTGTCAATTGTATAACTGGAAAGTCGTTGGCAAACTGAAAATTACATTTAGCAATGAAAATTGTAAAATAAATATATTGTTGTTGACTTACCATCATGGTGACCACATCTTGTTTGTGTGAACATTTTTCTCGCTTTCTCATCAGTGTCACTCCAAAAGCCTTTGGCAAAGTTCTGTGTTGCAAAAGACGCCAGGATTTTAAGACAAAATGGTTGGGATTATCTTTTAACTTTAGGTAATTCTTTTGGAACCTTCGATGTTGGTTTTGTGCGTTTGTGGCGATGGCGAAGAACAAGGATAGCAGAATTAAATGAAGCGTTAAATAAATTATTTGAATGTTTACGTGCTGATCAGAGCTCTTGATGATCATTAGCATCCTTACGCCTGGCTGCACCATAAAACTTATAATATGCAATGCAAAATATCTAGTGACATTTCGATGCACGCGCCAAACATTTGCTTGTTGTCTTAACACTCCTCTTAAAATGTACAATCTATCACTTCTCATGTCATGACAAAGGAACCCATTCAGGGATCTATAAATACAGCTAAGCCAAATGAGATAGTATCCAAAAAACAGAAGCACAAAGTGGTAGATAAATCCCACTCCGAAAATAAAGACACTCTGATATACCGAGTATATTCTCAGTTGCCATAAAATCAGCAAAGTAAACATTATCAGCAGCAGTAAAGTGTGGATACATTCTCTATAGATCTTCACACACAGCCGGCTGCCCAGAATCCTTTGCATCGATTTGTGTACGCCAGCACATTCATTAAGAAGCTCAGTCAGATGTCTTCTGAGGATCAGAAAGTACACATAAACAGGTACATAGAGCAGAAACACAAACTGGTCGTAGATCCATCGATGACTGAAGCAGAGATACAGCCAACTGGAGAACAAATTAACCACGGCCATTATATGCACGTATAGTTGCTCGTCGCACTTCAATTTCCTCAGGTCCTCCGCATAGCCCACATTGTAGAATCCTAAGTATAGTCCGATCCTTCCAGTATGATACCACACACAAATCAAGTGGCACAGACAAAAACCCCTGTCCGTTGCGTGTTTCTCCATTTCTGGTACTAAACCAAGTTACAAAACAGTCCTATAAATAGTCATAACATGAAATGTAATGTAGTACATTACTGGGATATATATGCAGTCATTAAATATAATGTGATGAGATGCATTAGCAGGATAAGAAGTTGTTGTAAAAACAATTCGAGTGAGTTATTTAATTTATATTTGTCATTAAAAATTATTGTTAAAGGGTTCTGTATCAAAATGTAGTAATATCTGAAAAGTGCGCACCTGGCTTTCAAATTCATTAGTCCATTCTTTTTATTAAACTTGTTTACGACTTTGTTCATAAATATGAAGTGCATCAGCCACTATCAATTGTTCTCCATTGTGGACATTTTCTTTCAGAGCTTTTTTCACCTATGAGAATTACTTGGAAAAAAATAACGACAATCATATTTTATGCTCTGTTTATTTGTGGAGTTGCACTCTGGACCGCTTTAACCGATGACACTCGGATGCGGATGGGGATGCGGATGCGGATGTGGTCATGGATATGGCTGTAGAATGGGTTGAGCACTTAAAATGGCATAAAGCCATAAGAGGTCAGCGTTTCACCTCTATCTCTGTCTGGCCATCGCTATCGCACCGGAGCTCATTCTCCACCGGTTGGTGGCATCTTGGTCGGAGTTTTTTCCTGACTTTTTCATCGCCCGGCAAATGGTTTTACACGCATGTAACTTGCCCAGCCCGCATTCGTACATACATATATGAGAGCGATGGGGACCTCCATTCCGCAGAACAGCACAGCATGTGCGGCCGCACATAACAATGGCAAAAAGTGCATGTTTTTATTACAAATTGCAATTGTGAAAAATTTTATACATGGGCGCATCGTTGTCCTCCCGTCGCCGCATCGTGTCACATTCCGGTGCCTTCGTCCTTTCCTACGGAAAACAGGAGTGGCCAATGGGAGAGACCAGGAGAACACTTGGGAAAAGTGTAATAAAATTAAATTGAATTTAGGAAAATTAAAATATTGTCTAGACTTGAGGCTTAAAAATGAAGCTTTCATAGTTTCGCTTATAAAATGATGGCGTTTGGTAACAAAAGGTTCAAAGTTTTCTTTAAGTGTATAAAGGACTTCAGCCCGGGTGTTGGTAGCTGTTCCTGTGATAGTGTCGCCAAAAATAAACTGCCCCATAAAACTCCTACCGCACATCCTGTCTGTGTCCTTGCCACTTGCCGCTCAGCCTCCACTTTTTTGCTCGCTGCGTGCGGCATGCATAAAGCAAATGAATTTATTTTTCGACTGCCATTTTTTCAATTTAAATGCTTTTTGCCTTTGGCTATTTGGAGAGTCTTTTGCTACTTTTTTTTTCTTTTTGCTTAAACTTTTTATTGGTATTTTTTCTTTTGATTTGGCGCTTTATCCGAACATTTTTTTCGTCGATTTCGTTGAGCTATAAATTTTTGCATATTTTCATTAGTTGTCAGAGATGCTTTTGATGATTTATGCATGTTTTTGATGCTCTTTCGTTCGCCATCGTTTCACATGCCCTCTCTGCATTTTTAGAGAAGACCCCTGCCAGCAATAAAAAATAAAACAAACAAACTTATTAAAAATGTAGTTGGCCAAGGCAAAGTTTTTAAGCTAATGAAAATTGCTGCAGTTGCTGGAATGTTCAACGTGGACAGCTGAGCACTGAAAAATCCTGTGGATTCACGAGCTGAAAAAGAAGAGACGAGCGTAGTGAAAACAATGTAGCAACTTTGGTGGTGAAAATTGTGGCAGATTTTTATCCAATTAAGCCGTGGAGAGGCTTAGAAAATTAGGCAAGCTGAAAAGTTTTTATGAAATTACTTACGTAAATAGACTACGTACACAGTTAGTCTACTGTAATGATTAAAAAAAACTTTTAATGGAAGGATCCAAAAAGTATGCAGTATTAGAAGTCACGCAAGCTTCTGTGTAGTATCGGGAAAAAAATATCGCAAAGAAATCCAAACTAATATCCCACCTCTTTGCTCAATGACGTCTTATTTTTACTGCCGTCGTAAATTCGCACATAATGAAGTGGTCGACGGATATCTGGCATCTTCTCCGGTTAGGTGTGGCTCAGACGGCAGCTGCTAACGCTGATTGTGATGTTTTCCAACGCCTACATTCCTGCAGCTTTTCCTCCGCCGACTGACGTCTCTAATGATTGTTTGACAAACATGCCCGGCTAACTGTCTGCCTTTCATCCTGCCATCCTGCCTTCCTTCCTTCCGCCAGTTTTGCCCAGCCAACGGTCGAATGTCCCGACTTCGGTCGGCCGAGGCTCTTTATTGAATTCCAACGTGGCGTCCAAACTGGTCCTTGGTCTTTGGTCCCTGCTCCCAAGTCCTTGGGTAGCCGTGCCTGGGCCGACATGTACAGGATTTTAAAAATGCCACATAAAAGCGCTGAACGGTGCGACACGAATTCAAAATTGAAATGACAAAGTAAACGCAAGCCGTGAAAGCAAAGTAGGAGAGTAGATACACCTAAAGAAAGCCATTATTAAAAATACTTAGCTAATTAAAGCCCAATAACATTTTTTCTTAATAAAAGTTTTTAGCGCTAAACATATTCTTCATTTAACTACATTTTTACATAAAGCTTCGAAAGCAGATTTTAAAAATTCCAATTACAGGAAATCTTTGGTAAATACAAGTATACATTTAAATTGAAAAACATTTTTTTAAAGGGCTTATAAGAACACAATTATTGAACTTTTTCCCTGTGTAGCATGGTTAGCATCGTAGAAAGTCGCCTAAGGAAGGAGCCGCTTGAGTTTGACAGTTTTGGGTTATGCTGCGATGAACATGGCCGATATGCTGCCATGCAAATCTCCTTCGCAAGTGGCAAGTGGCAAGTGGAAGTCGAAAGTCGAAAGTGGGGAGTGAGTAAGCAGCGATTGAGACCTGAACAAATTAATCGCCTCTCGGTACTGAACAGAAAGTCAGGTTTGACCGAGTTTACACACTCTCCGCTTTTTTTTGTCGCTTTTTGCGAAGGTGGACTTCTGCGGCGAATTCCCAGTTTGCAAATAAATTAGTTTGCTACGTGAGCGACGCAAATCTGAAGTGGGTCTGACAGCGGTACTTCGGTTCGGGGAAATTTTTAAATATTTAAGCGTGTGCAACTTATCGATTTGGGGACTGACTACAGAGTCCGCTAATTGAAGTGGTTTCAGTGTGCGGCAATGTCATCAATTATCCGCAGCTCCAGAACGCTTTTCATGCTAAAAGCATTTGCCCAGGGTTTTAAGTCGGGTGCAGACTTACACTGAATAAAATACAAGCTCTCTAGACTGGTGCACTTTTATGAATTTCATACGAAATGTTGTTGTACTTAAGTATGGCACTGACTAGTAGTGGTTACACCAAATTTTAAAGTTTTGCCTTTAGTAAATGCTCTTTAATGGTTTTATTTGGTTATTTTTTTTTTATATTTCGCTGTGTAGCAACACACTCACATTAGAGCTAAGTACTCACCGAACTGTTATTGGACCCCCTCCCTTTTTTGGTCCTTTGAGTGCACAACTGCTCGTCCTGCAGCCGTCGATGTCGTTAGTCCAATTAGTTAGAACACGCTGCTGTCAGCGGCGCTGCTCAAACTGCTCTGCGTGTGCCACATTGTCAGCTACTTCGATTACCAAAAGAAAGTGTCTCCTTTGCTGTGACTGTTAACCACCTAGAGATTCAGTTTTGGCCATCGGGTGTTTTGTCCTTTTGGTATAATAAAAGGATAAGATCTATGTGTCTTTTAAGGGGCAAAAACCAAAGATTCGAAAATACCCTTATGCTAAATTCGTGTGCTCTAAGCCATGCACTGGGAGAATTCAATAAACAGAGGCCTGGATACTTGCCAAACTCTCGAGAAATAATTATGCAAAGCACGTTTGTTGGGTGGGTTACACAACCGACCGAAATAAAAAAGACCTGAAAGAAAATCCAATAAATCAAAGGAAAAAGGATGGTAACCCATTCATTACACAGCAAACACTCAGCGGGCCTCGGCCACTTAACCCTTCTCTGGGAAAACATACAAAATGTCAAACTGAAAATCTATTAAATCACTCGAGGGTCTAGAGTTGTTCGAGCTTTAATTAGCTCATAGCTGTGCAGTGTGGCGTATGATTAACACGCGAGTAATGAACGTCATTGCTACACGGTCGAAAATACAAGTACAATGGTTTTGGGGATTTCCAACAAAAACATATTATTGGCGCTGTTGTATATTTTGATGTTCGATTTTTGGATGGGAGTTAGTTTTAAAAATTATTTAATTTAGAAGTTGTACTCCACAAATGATTTTCTTAGTGTATCATAGCTATTTCACTACTGCCTCTGACATCGTTCGGCTGTGAATGATTGAATTAAAATCCATTCGGCGGACCTGGCACAATCAATGGAATTATGGCCTTGCCACGCCCCCTTCAGTTCGGTGCACAGGCGGAAACTATTTCCGTGATTTCTAATTTTCGAACAGAGTCCCGCGAGGTCAGTTGACTGCAAAATCTTTCGATTAACTGCATTCGGAACGGGCCCTGCAACATTAATGAGGCACGCCCACCGCCCATTAGCAGCCTCATTGTACCCGCCCACACCAATACACACAAACACCCGCCCACCCGATCCGGGCTTAATTGATATGCATGTGAGTGGGTGGGTTGGTAAATGCAATTTCCCTGTCGCTCCTGCTGCCGCTGCGACTGCAGCATTCTCTAATGAGTTCGAAATAATTCCATGTTAGGGCCTTGCTATCTGTCCATCTATATACACCCCATTAAAGCTCCCAAAATCATTTGATATGCGGCCCAATAAATTGTGCACTTGGGCAAAAAACAACAAAAAATAGGAACTAAAAGAATTGGGGGGCAGCAAAGTGGGAACGATATGGAGGATAGGAACAGAAAAGCAGAGCTTACGTATTGCAATTTGTGCAAAATGCAAATTTCCTCACTGATGACAGCCGCAATTTTGTGCTCCATTGTTGTTAGTGGCACTGGGGTTGTTATTGTCAT